AATCGGCTTCTGGCGGTGCTCATGTCACGGATAAGTACCCCGCTTACCGCAAACTCAGAAACTGCCAGTACAGGAACAACATCTCCCCCTGGATGGGGACTGACAGGGTTGAAGAGTCCTTAGGTATTCTTTGATTCCAGCCAGGGCGTCCTCGCACCCCTGGCTCCACATATTCTTCCAGCACTCTTGATTGCTCAAAAAAGGGTTTGCATTTATCCGAGGAGCGTGAGACGAAACGGTTAAGTGCCAGCCAGCATCCCTGTGAGTTTCTGGACTTCTCGGACAGTGCGAGGGCTCCGGATGTCCAGGATCGCTTTAATCTGATCCGGGTTGGCTTCGATTCCTCGTTGACTAACCAGATATCCGAGGAATTTACCTGACCACTCCGAAAACGCACTTCGCCGCATTCAGCTTCAGCCCATACTCCCTGAGGGTGGAGAAGGTATCCGCCAAATCTGTCAGATGATCACAACTCCGTTTGCTCTTCACCAGCATATCGTCTATGTAGACCTCCATGGTGTTGCCGATCTGCTTTTGAACATCCGATTCATCAGTCTTTGGTATGTTGCCCCGGCGTTCTTCAGTCCAAACGCATCACTTTGTAACAATAAACTCCCTTCGGAGTGATAAATGCCGTCTTTTCCTGATCCGGGGGATAGAGAGGGATCTGATGATATCCTGCTCGGGCATCCAGGAAGTCCATTCGTTCATATCCGGCTGTGGCATCTACCAGCTGGTCCACCTTTGGCAGGGGGTAGTCATCCTTGGGACATGCCTTGTTTAGATCTGTAAAGTCTACGCAGACACGCCATTTTCCCCCTTTCTTCTTTGCGCATACCGTATTAGACAGCCATTCTGGGAACTGTATCTCTCGAATGGCGTCGGCCTTCAGGAGTTTGTCGATTTCTCGTTGACCGCGCTGGTGTGATGCGGGGCCATGCGTCGTGGCCTCTGTTTGACTGGCTTGTGCGACGGGTCAACATGCAGCCTGTGTGTGATTATCTCGGGGTCTACCCCCGTCATTTCCATTTCGTTCCAGGCGAACACGTCTGTATTTCCCTTAGGAACTCGATCATCTCCTCCTGTTCGGCTGTGGGCATCGAGGTCCCAACTAAGAAATACCTCTCTTCTTCTCCCTCTACCAAGGGCACCTTCCGGAGGTCTTCTACCGACCGCTCAGTTGGGTCTATCCGGGGGTCATCCATTCCTGGACGCCCGGACTGTAATTGCTATTTTTCCATAATCTCTTCCGGTGCTCGCCCTTCTCCTGGCTGGACGCCCGGCTCGAACGGCTGAATAAAAACAGTTCTTCGCGGACGCTTGGTCCCCCCGGATCTCCATGATACCCTCTGGCGTGGCGAATTTTAACTTTCTGGTGGAAAGTGGAGTGCACCGCTCCCAACGCATGCAGCCATGTTCGCCCCATAATCACGTTGTAGGGAGAGTCCGTATCGATCACAACAAACTCGGTGTCGATGACAAAGGGACCAGTGACAACTGGCAATGTGATTTTCCCCACGGGCAAGGCGAATGAGCCGTTGAACCCGATGAGGGGTGTCCTGACTTTGGTGAGGTCTTTGGGGCCAAGACCCATCCGTTTCAAAGTTTCGAAGTACATCACCTCCGAGGAGCTTCCAGAGTCTATCAAAATTCTTTTGACATCGAATTTCCCTATCCTTAGGGTCAAGACAAGGGCGTCGTTATGGGAGTCACTACGCCTGTCAAATCCGCGTCGGAGAATGTAATGCCAAGCTCACCCGTCCTGCCCTTTTACTTGATGGCCCTACATCACCCTCGGCTACCTTCCTTGTAAAAGCTACCCTCTTGAGGTCGGACTCGAGCTCCTTGGACGTGGGGCGCTCCAGGGGACATATATGAATGACATCTATGATGTTGTCGGTTCCTCGGTCGGGCAAGGGCTCGTCTCTCTTCTGGCCTGGGCTCTATGTACTCTTTCAAATGTCCGTCTCGGACCAAGCTTTTCAAGAACGATTTGAACACCCTGCAGCTTTCGGTGCGATGCCCGAAATCCCGGTGATAGGAACACCTAACCTTTTGATCACGGGTGGAGGGGTCGCTCTGCATCTTGGGCGGCCATTTGAAGAACGGCTCGTGCTTGATTTTATGGAGCAACTTGAAGATGGGTTCCTTGAAAATAGTGTGAACTCCTCTGGACGAACCCCCTGGAGGGGGTAGCAATCCCTTTTGGGGAATATCTTCACGCTCCTTCTCCTTTCTCTTAGATTGGAGGGCTCGGCCTTTGTTGCTTCCCATCTCGTCCTCAACCCTCGAGTATTTGTTTATCCGGGCCATCAGTTCCCCCATGTCCGAGGGAGTCTTCTTGGTCAGGGATCGGTACAGGTCCGTGTCCCTCGCCAAGCCGAGCCGGAAAGATGCTGCTGCCATGACCTCCGAGCAGCCTTCTACCTCATTGACCTCTTCCCAGTATCGGATGGCGTACTGGCGAAGAGTCTCGAATTCCCTCCGTCTGAGGGTCAGCAATGATCCAATGTCTTTAGGGCGCTTACTCCCCGTAATGAATCGAGCCAGGAACTGCCTAGTCAATTCCTTCCAGGACCCAATACTGTTGGGAGGAAGCGCCTCGAACCACTTCATCGCAGAGTCCCCCAGGCTCATAGGAAACACTCGGCAAAGGAACCGTTGGTCCGAATGATAGAGGGACATCATCTGCTTGTATTGCCTGATATGGGCTTCGGGATTGGACCGCCCGTCATAGGTTTTGAACCGCGGCACGACAAATTTTCTTGAGACCTCCATCTCACTGATCTCCCTCGTAAAGGGTGTTTGCATGACTTCGTCCTCGGCCTCATCCTGGACAGCCTTACCCTTTCTCCTGGTGTCTAATCGGGCCTGAGATCAACTTCTTCCCTGGCGGGATGCCTTCTGAAGTCCTTGAGTTCGTCGGTAAGTCCCTCATTTCCCGGGCGTCGTGTGGATTGGGTTGAGTCCTCCTCGGATTCATCTCCCTTCCTCCGTCTAGACAAACCTCGCCGGAGGTCGTCCAGGGCCAATGGCCTTGCTTTCCTTGAAGGGTTGTCATGATGATGCTCGCCGGCTCTAGGTCGCTTTGGGGCCCTAGAGCTTTCTGCTTTGTTGTTTAGATGGTTTCTTAGGTCCTTCGTTTCCTCCTCCCGGGCGGGAAGCCCACGGGAAAGGAATGAATCCCTAGACCCCCCGCCAGAGGCGGCAAACTCGTCGAGCCAGCTTAGGACGTTTACATTGTCCTTTTCCAGCTGACGTAATCTATCACCAAATTTTTCTTCAATCACCTCCGCCAGCTGACGAGCCAAGGGGGCTGATCCCCCTGACCTGATTCCCATACTGGTTTGAGGGGTAACCCCTCTTGACCGAGTAGAGGCACTTTTATTCGTGTTGGTATGATCCCTTCCTCCGTGATGACAGGGAGCTTGTAACTCGAGACTCCTTTGGTGGGGTCCTTTCCCTTTTTGTCGAGTGTTCACCATGGTCACTGTTCTTTATAGAGAAAAAACTAGGAAAACTAGTCGTTTCCCATAGACGGCGCCAGATTGTGCGTGCAAGATCCTGCACAATATAAAAAATGAGAACAGATCTCTCCCTTGGTGAACTCGAGTGAGCCGGTTGAGTGACCAAACACGCTGCTTGGAATAGCCTGCAAGGTACGGTGGTAACCTGGAACGGCAATGGGAGATCCTGGGAACGGAAGAACGATCCAGTAAGGTTGAAAGAGGTTCCTGGAACAAAGAAGAACAAGTTAGAAGGGCGCCGGAGTGTTTTCCGGCGTATCCCCTCCGACGATCTAGTCAGTCTTTGAGAAAGAGAGAGGAATGAGAAAACACTGAGAATGTATTGTAGTAAAGAGTTTGTTGTTGCATACCCGTCTTGCCTTTTGCAAGGAGTATTTATACCTCAAAAGCTCATGATTACTGTCAGTGTAGTCAGTAGGTGATCATTAGGTACAGACAGTGTGCGCACTGATTCTGATGAGAAATGTCTTCTCTTCTTAAATGCTCGGGGGTCCTGAGCAATCAATGCTTTGTCATCGGGATGCCGACGGTACAATGTACTCCTCTCGGGGAGGATGTAATAAATGCTCTGTAATAGGAGCATTTATTGTCTTTCATTTCCGAGCCTTACCGCATTGAATGCGGTCTCATCAAGGGAATGGTGCAATTAATTGTTTGCTTTCCCAAGTCGCGTGTCAGCAACGGCATGCGTTTTCTCTGTTTCGATGTGATATCATTTGCCACGCGTCCATCTCTTAATGGCTGTGACCCCTGCATTTCAGTACGTTCTGACACTAATTGTGTAAGACGAGGTCATGATGAATAGCCTAGACTAGCCTAGGCTAATGACCTGTACGTCAATAGCTTATCCTGGAGCAGAGGGAGCGTCCAGGACGGGGTACCTCTCGGCACCGAGAAAAGGCTCATCTCGGGGACCGAGGGAGGTATGCCGACCGAGGTATATATCAGACCGAGGACACGTGTCGGTTGTAAAACATACTGAATGCATGATCCTATATGACGAGTACCTCGGGGGCGAGGACCTTTTGGCGCCGATGGTGCTTGATCTTAGCAACAGTGTTTTAGTAAATACCGAGGACACGTGTCATCATCATGGAGTATCTCAGAAAAGTCTCATCAATGTCATTACTTGACCAATGTTCACTGGTATTGATCATGACAAGAAGTTATCATCCAAGATGAGATATGAAACATTAGACCACAGTGGGAGTTGGCCATCCAAGCGGTTCAAACTTAAATCTACCCATGTTCGTGGGAAGAATTCGAGTGGACCAGGAAGTATTCCTCCAATTTCGTTATTGGAAAGATCCAACCATTGAATCTGCGGAGACATTTTCCAAATCCAAGAAGGAATCGGGTCCGAAATGGCAGCATCTGTGAGGACTATATTTGAAAGTTGATTCTGAGTCCTAAGCCATGCTGGAAATCTTAGACCCAATGGGCAATTCATGATTCTAATGTTTGTCAGGCTAAAAGGAGGAACCCAATCACTGCTCACATTGAAGAGAAATGTCTTGTTCGACGATGATATGGAGAAATCTTCAAGTTTTGTGAGGCCCTGGAAATGATATTCAGATAGGACTCCCTCCCAAAGATTCTCGCAAAGCTCTAAAAAAGCTAATTTTGTAAGCTTCCCAAGGCCTTCAGGGATGGACCCATTCATCATACTGTAAGAAAGGTCCAATTCTTCCAAATTCAACAATCTTTCAATTGATGCTGGAATTGGCCCTGAGAGTGAGTTATAATAAAGATGAAGGGATTTTAAATTCTTGAGGTCTCCCAGTGAATCTGGCAACCGCCCAACTAGTTGACTGAGCCCCAAATGTAACTCTTCTATGCTGCTGTTATTGCAGGCAGACAAACCCTCTACCACTTCGCTTATCTCACCGCCAATCTCATTACCAGATAGAGCTAACTTCTGAAAATTACAGAAATCTCCCCATGCAATGTGGAAAAGTCGATCTTTCATACCACAATAACTAAGATCAAGCTCAACAAGGTTGCTGATATTATACAACCACTGAGGTATTGAAGAGTTAACTTCAAAATGATTGTAAGCAAGGTCAAGGACCAAAAGGGAAGTGAAATTCGAACGTGATAGAGAGACAGGCAAGTTTTGAAGGTCACAACCGGGCAAGTGCAACACTGAAAGAAAAGAAAGCATGTTGAGAGTTTGCAGCCAATCAGTTCTTGCTAAACTGAGGTTTACAAATCCGAGATTAAGGTGTTCCAAAGAAGATAAGCCAGAGAGCCAGTTTAAGTCTTGGACCCAACTGCTTTAAGGATTTTGGAAGGAATATGGATCCAAGTAAAGATCAAGATAAACCAAGTTTGAAAGATTTCCAAGATGAGGAGGAACCAATTCACCAAAAGACGCATAAGAGAGATTAAGGTAAGTCAACTTCTCAAGTGAGCCCAAGAAGCTAGGAATTGGGATTCCTCGGAAATTATTCATGCTCAAGTCTAAGTAATCCAAATGGTTTAAATCACTTGGAATATGTGAAAGGGATACTCAAACTCAAAGTAGAGTCCCGTATATATAGCCAAAAATAATACAGAGTGACTTAAACATCCTTGTAGTTTAGGCAAAATATAAAAATCATAGTAAGGGTAAAAGAGAGAAAAGAAATCCTAATAAACCTAGACTACTATCTATACTCCAACACTCCCCCTCAAGCTAGGCGCAAAAATGTCAACTAAGCCAAGCTTGACAACGGAGTCCCGAAGAATAGGCAGAGTGACAGGTTTGGTAAAAACATCCGCAACTTGATCACTGGTCCCCACAAACGATGGAGTAACAAGACCACTGCTGACCTTCTCCCGAAGAAAGTGAACATCGATCTCTATATGCTTCGTTCTCTCATGTAGTACAGAGTCAGAAGCGAGCTGAATAGCAGATTGATTATCACAATATAATGTGGATGAAGAGGTCACTGAAAAACCCAACTCGTCAAGAATCGATCGTAGCCAGATAATCTCACATGTGCCAAGTGCCAATGCCCGATACTCTGCCTCTGCGGACGAGCGGGAGACAACTGCCTGCTTCTTGCTCTTCCAAGAGATAAGATGAGTCCCTCGAAAAGCACAGAAACCCGTAGTAGATCGACCATCACATGCTCCCCCATAATCTGAATCTGAATAACAGGCTAGAGAACCGGTCTGAGATCCTGATGCATAAAACAATCCAAGTCCAGGACAAGACTTGAGGTACCGAAGAATATGATAAACTGCATCAAGATGAGGCTGACATGGCCTATGCATGAACTGACTAACTCGGCTGACTGCGAATGAAATGTCCGGCCTAGTATTGGCTAAGTAGATAAGTCTACCTACCAATCTTTGATAAACTGTCGGATCTTTCAACTCCTCATCACTTCAGCAGTAAGCTTCAGGTTTGGAATCATAGGTGATGATGATGCCGGTTTGCACCCCAACATCCCAGTGTCTGAAAGAAGATCCAAAACATACTTTCTCTGAGAAAGAACAATACCTCTGCTTCTACGGGCAACCTCAATCCCAAGAAAGTATCGCAGAAATCCAAGATCCTTCACATCGAAGGCCTTCCCAAGGTCTATCTTGACCTGCGCAGTCCCAGAAACACATCACCAGTAATAATAATATCATCAACATATACCAGAAGGATGACACACTGTCCAGAAGTATTCCGTCGAATAAAGCAGGTATGATCAGAATGACACCTGGTGAACCCCAATCGTATGACTACATCACTGAAGCGAGAGAACCAGGCTCGTGGCGACTGTTTCAGTCCATAAAGAGACTTACGCAGTCGACATACCTTTCCAGCATACTCCCCCTCACCACGAAAGCCCGGTGGTGCATCCATATAAATAATCTCGTCCAGATCACCGTGAAGAAACGCATTCTTCACATCTAATTGATGAAGAGGCCAAGAGTACTCCGCAGCCAGAGAAATAATTAACCGAACAGTAGTCAATTTTGCCACGGGGGCAAATGTAGCACCAAAATCACGACCTGGTACCTGAGTAAAGCCCTTCGCCACAAGTCTAGCCTTGTAACGATCAATAGTACCATCTGCAAGAAACTTCAGGGTGTAAACCCAGCGACAGCCAACAGGCTTCACCCCTGAAGGTAAGGAGACAAGATCCCATGTATGATTACGCTGAAGAGCGTCCATCTCTGTCTGCATGGCAAGAACCCACTGGGGCTCCCGCATAGCTTCCGAAATAGAGCGAGGAACCAGCGTATCTGATAAGGCCATAGTATAAGCTCGAAATGTGGGAGACAGATTACCATAAGAAACATAAGCAGAGATCGGATATAAAATCTTGGCGGTCCAACCATATCGATCAACTGGACGGCGATCACGCCTTGGATAACGACGCCCTAAATCACCATCCTCTACTGATAATATCTTATCAGGTAAAGTAACTGGCTCAGCACCTGTAATCTCATCAGTACTAACAACAGGTGCATCAATATGCTCAACAAACTGAGAAGTATTACCTGCATCGCCTGAGGTAGAGGGGATATCAGCAGGGTGATGAGAGCGAGGACAACGAGCATACACTGCAAAGGAAGAGAGACTGGTAACTCTGTACTGACAGGGATGAGTGACTCCTTGGGAGGAAAACGGATGACCCTGTAGGGATAGTGATCAATGACTCTGACTCTTGTGGTAATGGAAAATCAAAGGGAGTATCATCAACTGGAGGGGCAGACAAAGGACTGAAAGGAAAATAAGGAATATGCTCAAGAAAGGTAACATCTAGACTGTGATACATACGACGCCTAATAGGATCATAACATCGATACCCCTTAGATTGATGACAATAGCCCACAAAGATACAACGAATCGCTTTATCATCAAGTTTATGACGAGTAGGAGACCGATCCTGAACAAAACATGTGCATCCAAAAACACGAGGGGGGACCGGAAAAAGTGTCCGCTCAGGAAATAAGACCTGTAAGGGAGCCTTATGCTGAAGAACACGACTCGGCGTACGATTGCACAGAAAGGTAGAAGTCAAAACAGCAAAATGCCAATAAGATTTTGGTACCCTCATGCCTCTAAGCAGACAACGTACCATCCCTATCAAACTCCTATTTTTCCTCTCAGCAACACCATTTTGCTCAGGAGTATATGGACAAGTGAGTTGCTGAAGGATACCCTGAGAAGAAAGGTGAGACACTAAAGCATCAGACACATATTCTTTGGCATTATCCGAACGAAGAGCACGAACAATGACATCGAATTGTGTCTTAATCATCTGTAAAAACTGAGTGATTATAGGGAGCACATCAGACTTCCTATGCAAAAGGTAGACCCAAGTACAACGGGTATGATCATCTATAAATGTCACATAATATCTGGCACCTGACAGAGCAGTAACGGGAGAGGGTCCCCAAATATCAGAGTGTATTAGGTCAAATGGCTTGGGTGACTGGTGCATGCGAGGAATATAATTGGCCCTAACATGTTTTGATAGGGAACAGATAACGCAATCAAGTTTACCACCAACACAAGCATTACTCAAAGCAGGAAACAACATACATAAATATTTAAAATTTGTATGTCCAAAACGGTCATGCCACAATTGAACAGTTTGTGACGAAAAATCATAACGACAACTACTAGGTAAAATACTAGCATGCAAGCTAGGAACAGAAAAAGACAAAGCAGGTGCAGGTGAAGGAATTGGTGAAACTGGAGATGGATTGCCAAGATAATACAGTCCATCTTTCTCATGTCCCTTGATAATAATCCTCCTGGTACTCAGGTCCTGCAAATAACACGAATCAGATAAGAATACAACCGCACAGTGAAAATCTCTGGCTAACTGATGTACAGATAATAGATTCATGGCCAACTTTGGCGCATGAAAAACCGAATGTAATGTAAGGCCATCTGGGAGACGGACTGTACCCCTACTAACAATAGGGGCATGTGTTCCATCTGCTAACTGAACCTGTGTATGTAACGGCTCGTCAAAAGTGGTGAAGTGATGGGCCTCACCTGTCATGTGACCATTCGCACCCGAGTCCAACATCCAAAGGGGAGATGAACTGGCACAAGCGTGAAAGGCACGAGATATACCTGTAGTGGTGACAGCAGCAGTAGTAGTCAGACTCTGAGAAGTCAGAGCAGACATAAGTATATCTAATCGGGAAGTGATAGCATCCATATCACTTTGCCAAGGAGGAGCAGTAGCAGGAGTGGCGGTAGTGGGCGGTGGTACCTCAGCAATAGCAACAGTACGGCTGCGAGAAGGTGGCTTAAGCTCTGGATGGAGCTTCCAGCAAGTAGCCCTGAGATGTCCTGGTCGGCCACAATAATCACATTGACGGGAATCCCCCCGTCTGCGCTGATGATCTGGGGCGCCCTGACGGCGCTGGTCTGAGCGTTGCCCATCCCTGACTAAGGATCCTGAACGGGACCCTACAGCAGCTGCAAGGGCCATCTGGTCAATCGAAGGAGTCAAAGCTGCAACTGGAAGTGATGCAATACGGACTCGACGCTCATGCTGCTCAATCATCCCATACACCTCATAAAGAGAAGGAAGTGTCAACATCGACAAGATCTGAGAACGAGGTCCCTCAAACTCATCACGAAGCCCCATAAGGAACTTGTGAATCCTATCCTCCTGCTCTCGAGTATGCAAGAATGCTGCTCCCTCGGGCTCTATCTTCGGAATAGCAGCAAGAGGACGTAGAGACTCATACTCAAGCCAGCGCTGGGTCAAATAGCCATAATAATCCTGAACGGTCATATCTCCCTGCCGAGCATATGAGAGCTCCTGAGAAAGCTCATAAACACGAACTCCCCGTCCTGACTGAGAATACATCTCTGATAATGCGCTCCATAGCTTCGGAACAGAGCTATGAAACTGTGGATCCTGCAAACAGAGGGCTCCATTGAGCCAAATAACCATCCAAGAATGGCACAGTTTTCAGAGAGAACCACGCAGAATATCCAGGGTCGGCATCAGCTGGCTTTGGTGGTGAGATCCCGTCAGCCAACCAAGCTTCCCTACACGGCCTAAGAAAAGCTGGAATGAGCGTGACCACTCAGCGAAGTTACGACCATTCAACAATTGTGCCGTAACTTTTTGAGAGATCATGCCCGGGTAATGCAACTGTGCTAGTAGGCACTGTATACTGGTCAA